GAAAGCTCATCCATGTCCTGCTTCCAGAAGGAAGCAGAGGGAGGAGCGGCCAGAACGAAAAACGAAACGAGTGACCGTCTTAATGAGAGCGCACATGACTCCTCGCCAGGAAATGGGCTGCTTTGCATTCAATGCAATGATTTGCTTATGAATGCATGTCGTCTTCCCTTTGTGCTGCATGACAGCTGTGTCATCATAAACTCATAGCTGGAGACGTCAGCAGAAACAAGATTAATTGTGTGCTACTCAAGAGGGAAAATATATATATATTAATGTTTATGAATCTGTTAAAATATCCACGTAGCAGATTCTACTATTTATATAGTGTGAATGTTTATGAAGCATTCTCACTATTAGGATCCATTCCCCCCCATACGTTTTTCAGCATCTTCCTCGTTCCACAATTTTCGTGCCATTTCAACAAATCATACATCAGCTCGTTCAGGACAATCCTGCTATGACTTTTGGTATTGGTGCAAGTTTCGTTTTTTGAAATATTTAGCCTTTTCTGCCATTTTTTTCCTCAAAGAAATTGAATTGAGCTCATTTTACATCCTTCAAATCTTTAGATCTGTTTACAACCTTTTACTGCTCCTTTCAGTTTGTTCTGCTTCAGCTTCTTTCAGCAAATTTGAATTTTTTCAGCTACTTTCAGCTAATTTCAGCTGTGTGTGTGTGTGTGGGGGGGGGGGGGGGTTTCCCAGCTGTTTTGTGCTCCTTTCAGATTATTTCTGCTAACTAAAACATTTTTCTGCTGCTTCCAACTTATTTCTGCTGATTTAAGCTTGTTATGCTCCTTTTAGCTTATTTCTGCTAGTTTCAGCTTTATCTGCCATTTCAACTACTATTTAGCTGTTTTATGCAAATTTGAGCCTTTTCAACTAATTCCACATATATTTTGCAATAACTTTTTTCAGCTTAATTCAACAAACGTGCTCGCTCCACTTCCTTCTGGTAATTCAAGATTCTTTTTTGCCTTTTTAGCTACTTTTCAGCAGTCTTTTGCTAATTTCTGCTTCTTTCAGCACAGGGGTCTGCAACCTGCAGCTCTTTGGTCCCTCTGCAGCGGCTCTTTCAAGCTTTGATCAAAACCGACATAAAACTGAATTTTATTGGTTGTTGTAACAACAACAATTAAAAGATCTAGTTTTAGCAGTTTTCCTGCAATTTATTTAGCAAATATATGAAAACTAGAAACATTACCAGGAGTAAAACACTCACTTTCACTTTACACTTCATTTCTTCTAAGTAGGATACGTAATTTTATACAATTAAAGAAAATAAAATAAAATCACATAAGAATGCATGGTTTATTGTTTTAGTTTTTAGAAACTGGGCAAAAACTACCAGTATATTACTTTTTCCTTCTTTACAAGAATCTTGTCTTTTATTTTGTTATAGAAGGTAAAAATATAAATAAATGTTAAAAATCATTAGATATTTTTAGTTTTATAAAGATCACCCCTACTGTCCAGAAAAGTGCCCTCCAACAAAGTGGTCCATGGACCACCAGTAGAGCATCCCAGTTGTAGCAGGTATTGTGGCTCCGGACACATTTCATTTAGTGAACAAAGGGGCAGAAATGGCTGTTTTGATCGTAAAGGTTGCAGACCCTCGTTTCAGCCCAATTTGCCAAATGTGTTCTTTCTGCTTTCTTCTGTTAATTGAAGCTTTTCAGCATTTTTAGCTCATTGCAGCGGTTTTCAGCTAAATTAGTTTTTTGTGGTTATGTCTGCTACTTTCAGCCTAATTAACTTCTTTCTTTTTCTTTCTTGAATGTTTCTGTAAAGTGCCCCGAGACAACTTTGTTGTGATTTGGCGCTATATAAATAAACTGAATTGACTTCAGCTTGGTATGCTCATTTCAGCCTTTTTCTGTTAGTTTCAGCATTTTCTGCTAGTTCAGCTACTATTTAGCCGTTTTATGCAAATATCTTTTTCAGCTTATCCCACATTTTGTAGCTCATTCCAGCTCTTTCCCCTTCTTTCTGGGTAAGCTTTTTTCTGTCTTTTCAGCTACTTTTCAGGTTTTTTAGCCAATTTCCTAATTTTTGTGCCAATTTCTGCTTATTTAAACCTAATTCAGCATATGTGTGTTCCTTCTCCTTTCTTCTGCTAAATTAGGCCTGATCTTCCATTTCAGCTACAATTCAGTATATTTTAGCTAATGTCAGCTGTTTTTTTTTTTTTGTTAATTCTTCAGCAATAAGAATTTGCACTGCATTTTTACAGGAAATGAAATTTCTCTAGTTTAAATGATTTTCTTAATTAAAATAGTGAATCTAGTTTTTAAGCATCATGAAAAATCTGGCAAGAATGCACTGCAGTAAGCTCAGAAAGTAAATAGTGTTTTGCAGAATTTACCAGTATTAATTTCATACTTTTTCTTGGTTTAACAATTATTTCTTAAGCTGAAGCAGAGGTTGACTGATGGATGCTTTTACTGCTGGTGTTTAGAAATCCAAACGACTGACGTTTCTTAAATCTTACAAAAAGATAACCAGAATTGCTTCACTTAAATAATTAAAGACGAGTTTTTGGGCGCTTGCACACGTACAGTATATGTAGAAGGAGAACTAATAACTGAGCTGCACACGCATCAGCTGCTGCATCGTCATTTTCCTGCTCGGCTATCGGTTAAGTATGTACGAGCATGGACAATGGATCCAAAAAGGGTAAACATCGACCAGTTAATTGATCGGTCTTCTCTCTTAACTGAAACTTCAAATCATTTTTTATCAAAACTCTAATGTTAGACGGTGACATTATTAAGAGATTAAACACAGCGGTGAGAATTTTTGCCTATTAGCATTAGTGTTTTCCCCTCACGATTTTCATAGAATTCTTAAAAAATGATCTAAAAGCAGCTGTTTCACACCAGCGTGTGCAGTCCTACAGGTTACAAACTGCTCATTCAGAAGGCATTCATTTAACTCAGCTCTTCAGACTGTAACTCAGCCCTGCACCTTTGCAGGTCTGACTGCATCTCAGAACAATACAGCAGTGGTTCTCAACACTGGTCCCTGAGGAACACCATCCTGCATGTTTTAGTCGTTTCCCAACTCCACCACACCTGATTCAGTGATTGAATTATTTCCTCAAGTTCTGCAGAAGCCTGTTGATCACCCATTCATTCAAATCAGGTGTGTCAAAGCAGGGAAACAACTAAAACATGAAGGATGGTGTTCCTCAGGGACCAGAGTTGGGACCCACTGCATTAAAGAATACAACGTTCAACTGACGGAATTAAAATGTGAAAAATCAATGGTTTTGTTGCCTGGCTGATGCTCAACTCTACATTAAAAGACAAACTTTTCATTTTCTAATTTATGTACATCTAATCAGAGATGGCTCCTGCATAACTTTTATTAACTCATTTAGTTTAGTGTCCCTTCATGGAGTGAAAATGTTCTTTGCATACTGCTGCTTTTATCTAGTAACCACTTACATGGCAAAAAATGGAATACAAATACAATGATTAGCTGTATAATAAATTAAACCATCTTACTACTTCAGCTGTGACTAAAAAAAATAAATATATAAAATCGCTGACAGAGCCCTTTTTTGTGTAATAATTGTTTATAAAGTAAATTTTTGGCAAGTTGCTTTGGTTAAACACGAGAAAACGATCGTAGAATTTATTTTACGGTACACAATGACTTGAAATTCACGCTCTGGCAATACAATACTGTAAATGTACAAAAACAGGCAATTTAATTCAGTACAGTTGGTATATAAGCTGAGAGTTTATTAGGTTTTGTCTAATCACAGGACAGAAATGAAAAAGATTTAACAAACTAGTTCAAAATAAAGCAACCCAACAGTTAATTTTGATTCAAGTACCATCTAAATTAATGAGAAATCAGTTGCATTCCTCCAAAATAAGCTTAAACGGAGTTTAAATCATGATTCACTTAAAGCGTTATTCATTTTGTGGAAAAACAAAAAACTATTAATATTAAATATAAAGGGCGTTTCATTGATTTTTCTAAATTTTTAACCAAACAGTTCAGTATATATATATTGAACAGATGAGATCAATCATATCTGTATTATTATAATTATTATTTTTAACAATACACTATTATAGACCCAACATTCACCAGCGCAATAACAGAAACCAGAACAATGTTTCTTGTCAGCAAAACATTAGACATAAGATCTCCCTTCTAGACATCAAACTGAAAAGCATGCACAGCAATTTGCTTCCATTAAGAAAAAAAAAAGATATTTATATTCCCAATATGTGCGTTTCCATTATCTGACCCCTACTGTGGTTCCTTTTTCCCCTCTTCCAACCAGTTGTGCACATCTTCTGAGCCCACAACGAAGACAGAAAACTACCACTCCTCTTCCTCTCCTCGAGTATTTTAAAGCCACTTTAGAAGACTGCTAAAAGGACGGTTTAACAGAGCAGCTGAAACCAAACGAGGGCCTCGCTGCTCTTTGTTTTGCTGTGAAATAAGTCGAAAACAAGGCCTCTGAAATGGACTGGGTGCACAATAAATCACAGGAACATGTGTCCGAGAGGAGGCCTTCGCTTCATGTAAGATATTGTGTTACTGCTCGTTAAAAGCGCACAAAAAGCCGCTTCTCAGAACAAAGTTGGACCTTTTCTTTAATGACCAGTCTGGCTGGATGTCCAGCAGCCTCTGCTGCTGCCCATAAGTGTAAAACTAGCCGTGTCACAGCCACAGAGCACCACTTCTCCCCCCGCTTCTCTGTGCAGAAGGAAGCAGAGGGCGGGGAGAGCTGAGGCATGTGGCCCAAGAGTTGTTTTTTTGTTTTTTTCCCCCAAACCCCTGGACAACGTGCGATTACACAGCAACATGTTGGGCGATGCATCCGAACGGAACTGGTGCTGTGAGGCAAAAACGCCGGACCCTGAACGCATCTTTGTGAGACTTAAGTAGCAGTTTTACACTTTAAGCCATTTGGTTAATTAATCACCTTTAAAAATTAACCACTATGTCATTACAATGCTGATGTTTTATACTTACTTGGTGCACGAAAACATCCAGAGGGGGCTCGACCGGACCCCCCTCACTGCTCGTCATTGAGATAAATCCAAACCCCATCCGGACGTTGAACCATTTGCAGAAGCCCGAACCCGACAGGGCTTGTTGGGGTCGAGCCGTCTCCTCCTCCTCCTCGGGGTCTTCTCCACCACCTTTACCCTGCCGCCCTGAAACAAGCAGCCCAGACAACAACACGACCATTAAAATACATTTCAGGTGAACAAAAAAGGCACAACGCAACTCTTAAGTTGCATCTATAAAGATTATCGAGAAATACGAGGGGGCCAAACACTCACCCCCTTCCCCTCCCCACACACTCTTTGATGTGAAGTTCACGGCCGGTAGAAATTTTCTAGACTAGTTTTTGACATCATATAAGCGGTCAAGGGAGCTGCGTACGACATCCCCCGAAAGAGAAAAAGTTGTAACTTTTTGTGGCTCTGCGTCGTGCTCGGAAACTTGTGTCCTGGTTGCTGCTGCAGGTGTACACACGGACACGGTGCTTTCCCTCGAGGTTTTTTTTTTTTTTTTTTTTTAACCACAGGACACACCTCGCTCCAACGAGGCGCGTGCTTTAACGCAGCCGAACACAGTGAGACTCGGCAGGCAAGCTGACTAGAAGAGGCTCCATTTTATTTATTTATTTTTTTGGTTGCACCTTACCGCCTTCCCCATCAACCTCGCGTGAGCAAACACACGAGCACATTTTTTTTTCTTTTTCTTGTTGTTTTTTTTTATGAATACACACAAAAAAGAAGAATAACCTTCGGCCATGTTTCCCCTCGGACCCTCTGCGCCCAAGTTGCGATAGAGAAGCTTCCGGTGCGAAAACTGGCTGCGGTCGTCACCATTAATCCGACATCCTCGAGCCCAGCGGTGCGCGCGTTCGCTCGCATGGTACGGCGTGCTCCGAGCCTGCCGGGAGTTCAGTCATGTCTTTCTCTCTTCCCCTTCTATCCCTCTCTTCGCTCGCACACCGCCTCTGTACTCTTCTACTCTTCCTCCTCCTCCTCCTCCTCCTCTCGCTCCTCCCCTCCTTCGCGCTCATTCGCTCTCGTGCTGGCTGTGCCCGACCCCGTAGTGGGGTCACGTGACTCTTGTCAATTAGCCTATATGCTTTTGTAGCTGCTAATTTCATACGGTTTGAATAAAATACGTTTTATTAAAACGCAGCGTTTTGTTCTTCATTATAAATTTATTTTTTTTAAAGAGGGCCTGGTGTGGCAACGTAAATCTATTATGTTCTGGTATTAGATTAGACGTTTAGACGGGATTAAATTACGTTTTAATGAACTCCGTAGAATAAATGGGTGACCATGGCAACGGGATAAACAAGAGCGAAAACATGGAAATAATGATGAAGTTTCTGGAAACAGAGAACAATGCTGACTCACGGATTAGTTTTTTTTTTTTTTTTTAATTGATCCCTCTCGTGCATTAGCAGAATCAATCTGTTGCTGTTTATATTAGTCACTATTTTACTCATTGAGATTAACCACCTAATCTATGGAGTCCAAGATGGCGGCATAAATAGATACAAATCAGGGATAATCATTTAAAAGTCTTCCTTTGTAAGACAAACATCACATACAAATAGAATACAGCATGGAGGATATGAAGAAATTAAACTATTATAGACAACACGAGAAAAACTATTAGAAGTTGTTGGTTTTTTACTGATGTTTTTAGGAGTTCTTTAAAAAGAGTAAATAGAGTTCAAGAGTTCAGAGGAGTGGTCCAAAAAAGAACCAACAGTTAAGTCTAGAACCGGATCCAGTTGAGACCTGTGTTGGTCCAAAACCCTCTTTCTTTATGCAGGCGTATGAATTTATTTTTAACTTTAGCTGCTGAAATCCAAACACCCATCTGTTATTTAATTTAACTCTTAACAATAGATCTGTGCAAAGCTGGAAAAGTTTCAGGGACCCCCGCGTCACCGTCATGTTTATTAAATAATTTTCTTCAATTTGTCTTTTTAATGCAATGGAAATATCTGTGTAACATAAATACTTAAGAGCTTTTCTTTAAAAGAGTTTAAACAATTTTTATACTTATAAACATGGGGTACTTTTCATTCAAGACACACTTCATTTACAAAATTGTTCATTTCAACATCCAAAAATGACATTTCTGAGAAAATTAACAGCATCAAAAACCACTTAGAGAACATTATAAATGTATCGCCACTTCTTCAAATTAGTATACAGAAAACTCTTTACAGAAAACTGAACAGAATCAGAACAGCAGTCGTCAGACCAAGTAACAGGACTTCAATTGTAAACCGAACACAAAGAGCGGGTGGGCTGGCAGGGGTCCTCCCCCAGAAAATTTTGAATAAAGTAGATGTGATTTCCTGCATTTTTGTGTATTTTAACGAGTTGTTAAACATCTACGAGCTCATAAAAATATATATAAGTCGTTTGTTTTTTCTTTTCATTTTTTTTGTGGACCCTCAAGCACCGGCTGGCAGACCCCAAGGGGTCCGGGGACCACAGTTTGAGAACCACTGATCTAAAGAAAACACTACATCTATGTGAAGTTGGGACTTTAACGTCAAATATAAAGAAAGGGGACAAAAAAAAAAAAAAAACTACTTTCATCTATGTATCGTCATCGGCGTATAGTTTTGTACTATTATTAGTTTAGCATATTTCTTAGATCATATTACTGTTCTTCGTTACATTTTTTTTTTTTTTTGTTGGATGTAACTGTGACCCTGCACACAATTTCATTCCACCGTATGTGCCACATGTGATGAGAATGACAATAAAAAGAACCTTTGGCTAATGTTTAATTTATTTTTTTTTTTTAAAGGGCAAAGCCAGGCGCAGCTTCACCTGCGGTCCCTGGCATCAATGAATAAAAGTTCAACTATAATATAACTAAACTTGTAAGCAAAAACCCAATGAGCGTATTGATCAAATAAACTTGGAATCAAAGAGAAAACTACAAATCAGATGCCGTTTTAGAAGTTTTAAGAACATTCACGTTTTTTTTTTTTTTTGTGTGTGTGTTTTTTTTCAAGAGGAGTCCAGTTTAACTTTCCCAACCGTTAAAACCCAGACGCAGAAAACAAAGAGAGAAAACCTCAGATCTGATTCATAATCAAAGCATGTTGGAGCTCATGCTCCTGCAGCCTCCCAGCATCCTGGTGGGCACCGGAGGAGAGCTGAACTCACAACTTTGGAATGCGAGGGGAAAACAAACCCCAAAAACTCTCGTTTGTGATCTTCACTTGACAAAGTCCCAGCACTTGGCCTCATCTTGTGAGGCTTTCTGCAGGTTCCTGCAAAGATACAGTCATTAGATGTTTAAAAGAAATTTTTAAAAATCCTTTTAAAACTCGGTGTTCTTCAAAACCCTTTGGAGCTATATCAACCGGACTCGGGAGCGGTTTTTGGACAACTTTAAGCTCCCGGTGTCCTCAGTGAAAACTAGCTGCTGTTTCTCAAGGCCGTCCAGCAGCTTCAACAACAACAAGCATGGAAAAAAAAAAAAACAGTTTGCTCATCAACAAACTCCCCCGTCTTATCTCACACCTAACCCTGGTGGGACGTTTCTCAAGGGGTTATTCCCGTTTGAGAGGAAAGAGGAAAAACACACGGAGAGGAATGAAACAAAAACAAGCCCCCACCTCTTCTTCTTCTTCTTCTTTCCCCACCCACTAAAGGCTGAAGAGAGCCCACCCTCCGGAATTCACAGGCTTTATGCCCCTACCCCCAACCCCATCCATCCCCCGCCATAGTAAAAGGCCTGTTTTTGAAGATGCCTAAAGTGGAGGCCTCTGCAGTCACCACAGAATTATGGTTTGGGTCACAGGATGGGATACCAGTGTCAGATGGAATCCACTCCCTCACATCCTGACAAGAGGGTTCTGATCCGGACGGGTCAGCAGGGATCACCCCCGCTGCCGCCTGGCAACGACGGGAGAAAATCATCAGGAGGACTTGGTGCTAATTTAACAGCCAAAACAGAGTAATGGAGATTTTAAAGGAGCTAAATTAAAGTTTCTGTTTGTTTGTTTGTTTGTTTGTTTGTTTTAGGGGGAAAAAACTTTCACTTGTGAGCATCAAATGAAAAAGAACAATCATTGAAAGCGTTTTAGAGCAGAAGACTTGAAAGCATCTCGCAGTTTATGGTTCATCTTTACTTTATTTATGGAGAAATGCACTCAAACTTGTGATTTTAAGCTGTTTTTTTAACCTTTACGTTGAATTTAAAGGTTATATTTTTAACTTCTAATCAGTCTTTTTACATGTTTTGTTAGAAATTGTCCAAATCTAAAAGCAAAGAATGAATTTCAGCAAACAAAATACGTTTTTTTTCATAAACATTAGTAATAGTTTTGCTGTTATTATGATTGTTTGAATTGTTCTTGGCACTTTGTGTTAGCTGTATTTACTAAAGATTTATTTATGTGTCTGTTTTACATTTGTCCAGCAAAATATAAACCAACCTAAACATTATTTTCTTAGATAAACTTTAAGTTTGACTTAGTTTCTTTACACCAGGGGTGTCCAAACATTTTCACCAGAACTGTCTGCATGAAAGGACTCATGGGCCAACAAAAACCTGAATTTAAGAAAATTGTTTGGTTTTTTTTAAGTGTGATTTTTTTTCTCCTAATTTTCAACAATTTCTGGTGCATTGAAAGTTCATTTTTGTTTATTTTTCATATAAGAAACTCTTTCAAAAGAAGCTCCACCCCTTTTTAAAAAGAGGGTGGAGCTTCCATCACCTTATGGATCATTGAAGTTCTGAAAAAACGTCCGGCTGGCGGTCGCTAAAACACGTTCATAGAAGGTTTGCAGGGACATTGATGACGTTATCAACTTGTACGTCAATTATATCACCTTTTTTTTTTAAATGTCCAATTTCTATCAATTATTAGCTCAACTGAAATTACTTTCATTGAAAACACTTGTTATATTTAGCCACATTTTATGAATTATTATTCAAAATTCTACTTTTTAGTAGATCAGTGAAGGTTTGTTGTAGGATAAATGGATTAATAAATATTTGTATTGTACTTATACTTCGCTCATTTTGAGAAGATTATTTTCATCTTTTTTGCTGTTAAACCTAAAAATATATATTTAAGAAGTATCACCGTTAAATCTACAGAAGGTCTAAATCTGCAAAAACCTCTTAAGCCTGTGAGTCAAAATTATACCATTCTTTAACTGGGGGGCCGCACACAATCTCTCCAAGGGCCGCAAATGGCCCTCGGGCCACACTTTGGACGCACCTGCTTTAAACTAATTATCCTTTTATCAACATAATGGTCTAAAACCTGATTAATTAACTTCAGGCTCAGGTTTGTTTGTGAAATGCACTGATTTGTTGTCAAACTGAGCTGAAAATGTAAATTGACTTTTTAAGTATTATTGGATTTGTGACGTTCTTTCCGCTGCTTGTGTCATGACTCGAGACTTTTTTCAAACTTCAAGCAAAACCAAGTAGCAGAAAATTGAGGGAAAGCATCAATTTGCTAAACATTACAGTTTGTTAATGTCAATTTTTAAAACAAACTGTATTTTATTTGTTTAAAGGTCTTCATTTATTCATCTCTATTCGTTTATTTAAGTCTTTTTCAACACTCACATTTCTTTTTATTTGTCTATTTAAAGCGTACAAACCTCCAACATTTCATTAAAGTTCAACATAAATTTGACTCTTTTTATTTAAAGCTTCTAAGGCTGGGGGGAAACATACTTTTACAAACTGGTCTTTTTTTTTTTTTTTTTTTTAAGAATCCCATGACTATTATACATTTTATTAGCTACTGATGATAGTTTGTGCAGTTTTTCTACCAAATATATTTAAACTTAATACAAAAAAAACAAGAAGCTAAAAATAGTAATAAAAAGAAAACCTAACTTTTGTTGGATTTAATATTTTATACCTTTTTATAATTCCTATCAAGCACTCAAATGTCAGGTCATATAAAGTGTGTGTGTGTCTTTCTTCCAAGGTTGAACTATGTTTATAGAAAGTGTTTGCTAAGTCTAACTAGTTGACCTTTAAATATAATCTCATAGTAGCTAAAGATAATTTTACAAGTTCACATTTGATAAATTACAAGCAATCAAATCAGGCCAGAGAGCAGACTGATTAACATAAATAAAGCTAGAACAGCTCTTTAATTTAGACAGTATAGTTTGACTAAGTAAAATCAAATTAAGAGTATAACCATGATCCAAATAAAAACACGAACATAAGTTAGATAATATAATTATTCCTAGAAATAAACAACTATTTCAAATCAGTGTTATCACTAAGGTATAATCATGTTAAACAAACAGTGTTAACGGTTTTAAACGCAGACACAGAAACTAAGATGATTCTGCCTTAAAAACAGAATCACCAGACCTCCAACAGATAGTGAATTAACACCCAGGAGATAGGTAATAATTAATAGTTATTAATTATTACGCATAAACAATTTAGACACGAATCATTTTATATCCCTAAAGTATAATAGCAAGTTAAACTTTAAACAAAAGCCGAACCAAAACTTATCTGAAATATAGACGTAACGTCCTTGAGGGGGCGGGCTACGTCGTAACCATAGCGACAGAATCTGAACCAATCAGGAAGCTAGCCTTCTCAGACGGGAATAAAAGGCCGGGAATGACGCACGCGCACTGAGCATTTTCAGAGAGGCACGCAGGAGGCGGTTTGTTCTTAATGCTCCATTTATATGCATATATCTTATTAATGTAACTGTTTGTCTCTGAATATCTGTAACCCATGTTGTGTCAAATAAATCTTTTATACGAAGGGCGACGCCTCCGCCGTTTTGAACACGACGTGGTATTTTATCCACAACACTTTCTAACACTCATGTGCCAAAATAATCCCTTTTAAAGAATTGAAGATTAAATTAGCAGTGAAAAGTGAAATACGGTAGTTTATTCAAGGATTTTATACATGGATTACTGAGCATGAACTTTGGTGTTTTGAACCACTTTGGCACGTCTCAGAGGAGTGGACGAGGGAGAGGGCGTGCCCCGGAGGAGAGGGCGGGGCTCCAGAGGAGAGGGCGTGCCCCGGAGGAGAGGGCGGGGCTCCAGAGGAGAGGGCGGACCCCGGAGGCCATCTTAGCACCAGCAAACTGTTTGTATGCTGTTTATAGCAGTTTTGTTTGGTGGCTCCTCAGATTGAAGAAGTCCTTTGGATGAAGGATGAAACGTCTCAGGAAAAAAAAAAAAACGTCCAGATGACCTGACTGAACATTGTTGGATTTCACACCTGGATTATTGAGCATGAACTTTGGTGAAATAGTTTATTAATATTTAACTAAATTGCTCGGGGGCCAGTCATCCAGCATAAGCGTCATTAAGTAAATTTGTTTTACAGTTTTTAATAGTTTAATTTAAAAACTAACCCACCGGTGGGCCGAACTGAGCTCACCTGTGGGCCTGATTTGGCCCCTGGGCCACCAGTTGAATATCCCTGCTCTATTCTTCACATGTGCTTAATTTGAACGTGGATCTCTTTCTTGTGTATGCTCTCGAGCAAACATGCATGATGCATCATTTGAAACACGCCATTTAAACATTTTGACTTCTGACTGACACATGTGCAGCTCAAAGGTTTGTCTGGGAGCACGTGATGAACAAAGGCAGATTCCTGAGACAAACTTTCTGAGCACACTTTGCCCTCCATCACCCGAGCTAACCCCACCCAACCCCCACTCCTCACCCCAGAGGAAATGTGCCTTCACCCTGCTCTCCTGTCAATGCAGTTCAAAGGGTTCATTGGTCTCTTGTCTTTTTTTATTATTATTTGTTTGTTTGTTTGTTTCGGGGGTGATGGTTACTTTTTGTCATTTTACTTCATGCATCCCAGTTCCCAATCCCTCACTTTTAATGATTTATGGGAGAAATTGTAAACACAGTTGGTGCACTCTAAAATCCTGTGCTTTTATTTTATTTTTTTGGAATCTATAAAACTGAAACAGGAAGTGTTATAGGTGCAAAATATAATTATTTATTTTAATTATTTTGTCTTTATGTCAGATAAAATGTTTCACTGTGGTGAAATTAAACCTCTACTTTTGTTGTTTTACTCCCATCTTTTAAAAAAAAATATACAGTTATTACAATAATATTCTCAGCTATTAGTCCTAAATTTTTAGATGTTTTTAATTAAAATTGACAAATTTCGTTGATAAATATTTAGTTTTAACGAAAAATCTGTTCAGATGTCAGAAAACCCGCGTTTATACTTCAATAGCCATAAAACTCGTTGTTTTGTTTTTTTTAATGGTTGTGTTTTATTGTTTATCACAAACTCAAACCGATTAGATTTAATTTAAATAGTTTGTATTTTCGCCGTTGTCAGTCTTGTCCATTTTGATCATCAAATCAGAGAAATATTCACTGAACCGAAGGGAAATAATTTATTAATATTATTATTTTACTCCTGCTCGGACATCCATTCATATAAATGCATATTTACTTTTAATTAAAAGGCTATATAAATAAAAGTTTTAAGCTGTAAAATGCGTGTCGCTCGTGCACGGAGTAAAGCAGCCTGCAAAGATCTGAATAAAATATGAGTGACGTCACGGAGGGAGGAGAAGCGCCTCTTCAACCCGTGAGGAGAAAAATAAAGAAATATGCGCCAAGCCTCAGATTTCATGCTTTCTTTGTATTTTTCCTGCATAAATATTTTTTTTTTGCCCATTTCTTGATGGGTGATTTTTTTTTTTTGTATTTGAGTTGTTTTACTTTGTTTTCACCCCTAAAATCAGTCAATTTGATTGTGCGCATTTTTAACTTCATCTCAAGCACGATTTGATTAAATGAAGGACTTTATTTTGAATAAACAAGTCACCTCAGGTCAATGAGCAGACTAGTTATTTACTGTTCAACCCAACCTTGAAACGTTTTTTTTTTTTTTTTTACATATATTATGAGGAGACTTACCTGTCGGAGCGGAAGTAGACATCTTTTTTTTTCCCTTTTTGTCTCTGGATGAATGAAAAGGCACAGGAGGTGCCTCCTAAGCGCGTCCCGGGGCTTGTGAAAGGTCCAGCACACTTTTTGGAGTTACATGCTCAGGTTGACTTTTACCTGGCGTGGCGCGTGAGGCCTGAAATCAAAGAGATTTTCCATGGATGAATATTTTAGAGTGACTCTGTAACACAAGCTGCAGGAGCGCGCAGGGCCCAAGCAGATTTGCAGTGGGACGACAGATCGGTGCTGGGAGGCTGCGGCTCAGATCTGCCACGATCATCTCCAAAAAGGTGCATTTCTTCTCTCCTTGTCAATCCAGCTCCTCGCGATGGGAGCAGACATGCTCAGTCAGCGGAGTTCTCCGTGCGACGAAGAGAGAACTCCTAAAGGTGGAACTGGGCGAGCACTGGCAGAAAAATGAAAGAAATCCTTTGGAGTTTCAACCATGTGGAGTCCTCCCCCCAACAGGCTCCCAGTCGTCCCCACCCCTCTTTTTTCCCTCTTGTCAATAAAGATCCATACTTCACATCCCCCACTCCGCCTGACCAAGAGCTCAGTGAAACTACAGCTTTTAATGCGACGCCTCATCGGACATTTTACTCCAAATGCACAAAACGTGATCACATAAATAAACGTCTGCCTGCTCATGATAGTTTAATTTGTTTGCTCACTAATCAACTCTAGAAACTTTTCCGGCTGATCTGAAGTCTACTGTTCACTCACTTGTCCGCACGGAGCTGCACGGCTCAGCTGGTTTCAGATCAGTGATCAGGGGCCGATCAGATGCAAACAGCGCCACCTATCGGTGCATCTTCATTTGTACACACAAGGGCCCCCAGAGGGAGGGAGGATGGATGGATGGATGGATGGATGGATGGATGGATGGATGGATGGATGGATGTATGGATGGATGGATGGATGGATGGATGGATG